TCTATAAATAATATTTTATAGAAAAATTGATTGGGTCTCTGAAAGAAATGTCTATGTTACATATTATAAACTATTAACATGAACAAGAACAAATCTTAATATAAAACCCTTCTTTTAGACGCGCCCTTTTCATATTTGGTTATATAACACAAAAAAAAAAATATACAACTCTTATTATTTATCATATTTCTAATTTTATTAGAGACGCGCGGTGGTGAATGATTTTTCAAGTGATTTCAATGTATTTATAAAGAAACCAATAAATCAATTGGATATAGATAAAACTCTTAATTTATATCTTTCCCAATTTCTAATAGGAATTTCAAATGATACGTATTAAAAATGATATTAGCGTTAAAGAGAAAACTTACGTTTTATGCTTCCTCTAAGGATAAGTTCTCTCTTTGGAGTCTTATCGACTAGAGAAGCGAGAGCGAGAAAAAAAGAAAGAAAGAAAGAGAGAGAGAGAGAGAGAGAGAGTCGACCGGATGTATCGCGAGAACACATAAGGATGATTGTAGATTGCGCTGGCAGCTCGTGCAAAAGCAACAGAAGGTACAACCGGAGTCACTGACAGGGAGAAAGAGAGACAGAATTCAGAGAGAGAGAGAAAGAGAAAGAGGAGAGTCAACGAGCAGTTAAGTGAGTGAGTGAGTGAGTGAGAGAGAGAGAGAGGGTGAGAGAGAAAGAGAGAGATGGTTAAGAGGCAAGGGAAAAGAACGATGAAGGAACGAGAGATAACGGGGTTGGCAAACACGGAGATAGCGTGCTGCGGTATTCTTGCGTTATTCAAGAGAAGCGCACGGCTGTGTACCGAAATTCGAGTACGACTCTTCGATCTCTGATACAATTCGATCATCCTCGATTATTCTAAACAATTTTTATACTATTGCGAAAAAAATACAAATACACATTTATACATATTTTTATAGAACTACACTTTGTTATACTGTAATCTAATATATACATTATTATACATAAAGAAAAATTGATATATAATATAGAAGATTATAGGGTGAAAAGTTTTGAGAAAGTATGACGAAAAATAAAAGTGATGTTTACTGTGTGTGTATTTTTTTCAATCAATACATTTATATATTTATACGCATACATATAAATTACTGTATCATATTCTAGTATAGGAATTATCATAGCATGGTTTTAGCAACCTCGTATGAGGTCACAAGAAATTCTACTGAGAGTAAAAAGTTTCTGGACAGGCAACGACCGAAAATTAATTATCAATCAGTCTGAAAACACGACACGAATAATACGTTTGCGAGTTTATAAAAGTGAAAGAGATGATAGGTTTGAATTTAATAATTGCTAACAATGAGTGAAAAAGTTTAACTCCTAATTTAGTATATAAATTACTATACACAGAAAATAGATTACATAAAAATGTGTTGACTCACAGAATTTTCTTTAATAATTGGCACAAACTTTCCAAACACCCTTTATTATTATTATTATTATTATATATATTGAAAAGTTTAGTGATTATGTGCGTATACTTACAATTAGTGGTTAAAATCGATATTGATCGATCGATCAATCGTATTCGAACTCGTTATCGGAAAGCAATACAGAGACACGTTTCTAGTATAAAAATAGATCCAAATAAGGTCGATCTATCTAAGAAAGTCGTTTCACGTTAGACGGTTAAAAATCATTTCAACTTTCTTGAAAATATTTTTCTATAGATATATTGTAATTTATACATTATAGCAGGATTTCTTAAAATGTGATGCAACAATCCCCTCCTCGTGTAGAATCGCAAAAATTGTAACACAAGTAAAAAATTTCTAGACGTTCAACGATCGAAAATTAATTCAAAACTCTTTTAGAATAACTGTAAGTTTATGATGGTGAAAGAAAAGTGAGGTAAAATAGAGTTTATACTTAGAGAGTCACGAGATTGTTAAGTGGAAAAATTTGAGAAGCCCTGTACTAGCTAGAGTATGAATTAGATATATACATAAAGATTTACAGATATAGATAGATAGATAAATAAATAAATATATATATATACGTAATAAATAGTGAATAAACTGATTGTGAGATAGAGAAGTGGTCGGTACGATTAACGTTTTAGCTGAAAAAATAATCATAAGGTAATCTCTATCTAATCGTTACACGCTCGTAGTGTGCTGGGAGGATTGAAGAAGTCAAAGTCATTAAATAAACTACTATTTTTCGATAGACACTTTCAACGTTAGATATATTTTCCCTTTTTGTTCTTCGAATGATCTCAGGTGTTCCATTGCAACTGTCAACACATATTAACGCATCCAGCAGACACACATATATACTGCATATAAGATAGTATTTAAGTAAGTAGTATACATATAATACTATCGTCATGCACGGAAATCGTGGTCTCATTCATGCCAGCTCGACACGTTTGCAGTGTATCACGCGTATACACACACACACACAAACAATATGCATATAGTTTAATCATAAATACAAACACACGCGTGCGTGCATGTATACATATACATAAACAGCATACTTGTTGCAGCATTGAACGGAACGTTTGCAAAACGCAAAGTATCCACCTTGGCTCGGTCGCGTACTAAAAGGCGGGGATATATACTGCCTTTCACCAACACACACACACACACAATTACAAAAGTATATTATTGCATGCGCGACGAAAGTCCGACACGGCAAGATAAAACAAATGGCATTCGCAGCCGTGAATCACAAAGAGGAGAATAAAACGCGCCACATGTATAATACTACTATTCGAACACAGAAAGATAGTAAGTCAGATAGATCATTAAAAAAAAAAAAAAAAAAAACTAGAAATAAGAAAAAAAAAAGAAACGAAAAGAAAGAGAGAATATATCACGTGGCCGAACCACGTGAGAAATGAAGAGAAGAAAAAAAAGAAAGAAAAAAAGGCGGGAAACAACCACGTTGGAAATCGAATGTTTTAGTTCTCTCTCATAAAAAGAAAAAAAAAACAGTTCATAATGAAATTCATTTATACACACAAAATTACGAAAGAAATAATGTAATTTACTTGGGGGGCGGGGAAGGGGAGGGGGGAAATAAATTGGATATATTTCAGTTAAATGAAGAAAACGTTTGTGGAGGGTGGAGGAAAAGGTGCATGACCGAAAGCGAGAGTGAATGAAGGGCAGGAGGTGGAAGTCGAAGGAGGTAAGGGGAAAGAGAGAGAGAGAGGGGAACAGGAGGAAAAGGCAAGAGAGCGCGTGCGTACGCGTTTCACGAATGGAAAGGTAGTGTGTGTGTTGGTGACTTTCTCGCAAAACTTTCTACGGATGAAGGTGGTGAAGTGGTAGGTAGGTAGGTAGGGGGCTGAGGTTTGCGCGCAGGCGTTCACGCGCATTTCATTCACCGTCGCGTAGTCGTCGCATGCTCCCCCCCCCCTCTCTCTCACTCTCTCACTACGCCATAGAATAATAGTTTTCTATCTTTATCTTTCTCTTTTTTTTTTTCTATTTTTCTTTTTTTTTCATTTTGTCTTTATTTCTCCTATGTTATTATCTCTTATTCTTTCCTTTTCTACGAAAGCGCGTAGAACGTGGTGGTGACTCAATATACAACACAACAACCAACCAACCGGTCGGTCGGTGTCACACAGGCAGGCGCCTGACCGCGTCGATAGAGTTGGCACAAAGTCGGCTGACCTCGCCATTTGAAATCGGTGCCGGCGAGCGAAAAACAACAGAATGGAGCGTGCGTTAGAAAGAGAAAAAGTATTAAACAGAGAGACAGACAGAGAGACAGAGTGAGTGAGAGAGAGAGAGAGAAGAATTGGTCTTCGCGTTGTGTTGTGCCATTCAAAAGCAAGATAGTCGTAACTAAGCGTAGGTGCGCGCGCGTTCGCGCACACACCTTCGATGAACAACCTCGAAAGAATGTTCGAACGCGAGAAAGGTAGAAGGATAGATATATCGGGGATATATTGCTTAGCTTTGCTTTGCTTTGCTTCCCTCCCTCCCAACCCTGGTAGTAAAACGTTTCACGTTACTTCTTTGTATTTGTATTAGTTTGTATATATATATATATATATATATATATA